TGAAGCCGATATTAGCTGGTGATCAAAACGCTGTTAAAGTTTTAGAGTGTCTCACATCTATTGCAGGTACGTATAAAAAAATATATATGTGAGTTATTTTAATTTTCAGTGAGTAAAATGACAGTTTATCAACTATTTTATCAGGATTATATGGCGAACAAATTATATTGTTGCAATATTTTGCACATATAGTCGAGCTATTAGCATTGTGTAAGAGAAAATTAACGCAGAATTTGGAAGGAGGCCTAATTTCTTGTCTGGCTCTATTAAATCACATTACAGCATATCTTAGTGATTCTACGGTGATGGATGTGCTTCATGTAATGTTTATCATATAATTAATTATTACGTATTAATTATTACACGTTAATAATGTAATGAAAAAAATCTGGAATAGCTCAACTTTGTTCATATTTAAATGTAGGAGCCGATTGTTAAATCCATATTACATCCCACAGTACGCATATTGTCAACCGCGAGATTTACATTTCCAAATGGAACGCTTGCGCGCATTGCTTTAGCTGAAAAATGTTTGGAAGCAATGTTCATTCTTAGCTTACGGCTTGGCAATGTGATCACAAAAAATCATTTAGCAGTACCAATTCAACGCTTCTTTCTGGCTTTTGACAAAGCTTTCAGTGAAAATTTAAATGGTGGAGTTTCATCAAATAATTTTGGACAAAAAGCAGATACGACCTACGAACATTTCGTACGGTAATAATACGCAGATGAACATTGCGGTTTAATTACACATTAAGTTAAGAGGAAACAGAAAGTTTATATGATCAAATTGAATTATAATTTGTGAATTTATTTCAAGGAAAGGAATAAATGAATACAGTTTTTCGTTTAGGTATTATTTATTTTTGAGAAAATTAAGTTGCAATATAAAAATTATTTTTAAAGTATAGAAATTTTCTGTGTCTTATTGAAGACAGAAAGTTTCAAGTGTCTCGCAATTTTGCCATGATTACAAGGAAACAATCTATTATTTTTTGTTTAGTTTTTCTCAGGACATTTTGTTCTACAGATTGAACTAAAATAGACCATTAAAAGAATGTTATTATAAAATGTTATTACAAAATAATATAAACATAAAATTCCACAGAAAATTCCGAAGAAGATTTTGGAATTAATTTTGTTATAAATTAATTTTCCTATACTAAAAAAAAAATTTGCAGATTTTAAATAAATATTATTTACTCCAATAATACTAACGAAATATTTATTTATAGTAAATAAATATTTATTCAAATAAGATAGTTATGTTTAAATTGAATAAATATCTATATGTTTATATTTAGTAAATATTTCGTTAGTACTATTGGAGTAAATATTTATTTAAAATCTGCAAATTTTTTTTCTGTGTAAATATAAGAGTAGTACATAAAATTTAAACGTAGAATTATGTCTATTTATTCCGTTCCCTAAAATACACAAATTTTGCTTTCAATTTTTTTATATTAAATCTATTACTCCTCCTTCCTTTCTTAATGACAAAACTAACATACCAAGATATTCATTTTTATTATTTCATAGAATGAAAACCGCAAACGAAGAATCTGTTAATAATGGAACTTATGCGTGGAACAAACTTGATACAGATATTGCAGATTCATATTCTCCTCCAATCGTAGAAAATAGCGACGTGCTAGACTTGCAAAGAAATAGAGTAAGATCGAATAGTTTACGACTTATGTTTCTTTTCTAGATGTTATGAATGCAAATGTATATGTACTAAACTTTTTATTTACAGGCATTTGAAGAATTACGAGCTGTGTTTACTACTGCATTTGCTCACAAAGCCTACATGCTTTTTTATAGATGTATTCATGTTGAAATGATGGAACATATACTTAAAAATCACGAGCATATACAACAACTTTGTCATGATTACGAGCAAGAATTAAAAGCGACTTCTGTAAATAACGGTAGATATCCTATAAAATATTTCTCAACTATTATCGTGATTAATAATATATAAATAATATGTTCATTCTTGTGTTTCATTTTTTAAGATAATGCGGACAATACTTCCGTGGATTGTGATGATACAGAGAATGTAGAATCAGTTGACAAAGGTGCTTGTAGCTTCGGGAATATATCTGTGATAGGAAACAGATTCGAGATACAGAAAAATGATGCGAGATCTCAAGTGTTACCGGAGACGAGTATTGTTGCCAGTCGCGAAACAACTTGTCCGTCATCCGCTGGTAGACAACTACGCGGTAATTGGTTAGCTTATTGGGAGCACGAGATAGGAAGACCAGAAAAGGATACAATATTTAATATAAAGCAGATAAAACTTCAGACTTTCAACGGGCATACAAACAGTGTGAGATGTCTTTACGTATTAGACAATGAGAACAGTTTTATGAGTGGTAGCAGAGACAAAACTGTGAAACTGTGGAGTTTACGAAGCCAAGTAAGGTATATTCTGTTCAATTTAACAAAAAAAGTTTGTTGTATAATATCTAGAATTATGATTTTACTGTTATAATGAAATCAGGGTGATGGAACTACAGTTTCATCGTGTCAATATACATATACTGGACACAAAAAGTCTATTCTTTCACTTACATTCTTGGAATCTTTGAGATATGCAGTAACATGCGATGGCATGATTCATTGTTGGGATCCTTACATGGGTTCGCTTCTGGGATGTCCGGAAAGTAGTCGCCCAGTTCCTGTGAATATTTTAGCCTCGAGTCCTTCCCCCTCTACAACTCTTCTTGTGGGAACAACCGATATTACTCTTAGAGTTATTGATTGTAGAACATTCCAGTATGTTAATGAAATGAAAGTAAGCATAAAATATATATATTAATATCTTAAAATTCTAATTTATACAAAGTTTAACGTTAAATTATTCGATAGATTTCCATGAATCCAACGGGTTTAATAAGATGTATCGCTGTATCACCTAGTACTAACTGGGTCGCTTTAGGTCAAGCATCAGGCTTTTTGACGATATTAGATACTCGTACCGGTCTAATTATCGCATCTTGGAAGGGACATGAATGCGAGGTAAACAGATCTTTTATCTTTGAAAGTCTCATAAAGAAAGCTATTTTTGAAAAATTTTTTGAGAAACCTACGTGATGGATTTTCATAAGCTTTTATAGATTTGTAAGTATATTAAACTGTGTTTTCAGCAAAGATTTAATAGATATATTCATTAATTTCAAAGTTATTAGCATTCAAACAAGGGACTACAAAGAACACGATATGTATGTTGCATATCTCTGGATGATCTAAAACAATGATGCGCAATCTTTTTTATACTGAATCATTTTCAGATATAGTGTGCTTTCCAACAAACGACACGGTGCAATATGGTGATCATAAGAGGTTTTAATTATATAAAGAAATTAGACATTTCTATGTTAACTCGATTTACTAAAGAACCACCTTAAACATTTACTAAAGATAGTACAATATATGCATAATAAACTTATAAAAACCTATAAAAATTTATTGCATAGGTTTAAAAACAAATTTCTGAAAATTGCCTCTTTTTTCATTAGACTTTCAAAGATAAAATACTTAATAGCTGCTAACGATTCAAAAGAACCCGCACCAATTTTATGGAAGTTGGCTTTCTATTGAATTGATTAAATTGTAGATATGTTGTAGTTCTGGTCATTCTAAACAAATATTTTCACGAGCCCAACCTCCTCTTATGACTAGTTCTTGCATTACAAGTCTCGAAAGATTCAGATACAAGCCTTTAGATTTTCGTGTATTATTAATATTATATCATTATTAATTGATATATCATAATAGATGTGTATATATATATATATATAATATATGATATTTCTTTACATTAAGGAACACCTCTTCAATGACTGTGACCTTGATATATGTTATAGAGGTGAGCGCGTACTGATATACTTTTTCTTATAAACTAGTATAAAATAATTATTAATATGTGGCTCAACTGGTATAATATTTTTAAGACTCCAAGCATTACAAAAATGCAAAAAAATCGATTTTTTTAATCCACCACAATGGTATTCCCTGTAAATTGGCCAATTAGCGATGTGTGCAAGATGTGCAAGATGTGCACAATCAGAGCTTTCCCGTGATATTACTCGTGATATTCTGCTATAAAAACAGAAAAGTAGACTGAAAATTATTTTTTGAATAACTGTAACTGTAATGAATTACTTTTACAAAGTAACTTTCCCAACCCTAATATCTATCAATAATGATATGTATTATCAATATGGAAACTCAATGGTTTGAATTTAAATCTTCCAGGATTTATAACGCAAAAACTAGCAAGAGGAGGAAGTTGGGTCGAGATATTTGTTTAAAATGATCAGAAGTATAATATATCTAAAATTTAGCCAATTCGACAAAAAGCCAATTTCCATAAGGTTGTTGTGGGATCCTTTAGTATAAGAATTCATTGTTCGATTTATTGATTTTTAATATTATAGATATTGCAATTAGAAGCGATAAATGAAACTACTATAGTTAGTTCTTCTTTGGATCAAACTATAGCTGTGTGGAGTGCAATAGATGGAAAACTTAAATTTCACATGAAGTAAGAAAACTTTTAATATTATGTAAAATGAAATAGACAAAACATAATTTACATAAATTATACTTTATCGATTTTCAGAGGCGCAACAGAACCTGTTCATTGCATGGCAATGCACGAACAAGCATTAGTAATAGGAACAACAGCAAATCGAATTGGTGTTTATACCGCTGTAGAAACGACTGCTTCATTAAGCTCATCCAAGTTAAGATCTGACGCTTTTAAAGGCATTCTTACTGCCTTGGCGGTCCTGCCTCTCAATCGATTACTATTATTAGGTGCTGACAATGGTGGAATAATACTACTGTGTTAGAGCACTATTTACAGAACATATGCGCGCTCGCGCACGCGTCGACATTACTATATACAATACGAGGAATAGAAAAGTATGTCTAATTTAACAAAAAACGTGGAAAATCTATTAAACAATAAATTTCATTTTTACATTCAAGAGAAAGATTTTCTATATATGGATGATGTCTGTTCTCGTCGCTATTACTTTTAGAGCCAATTTAGCGGACATTTTGTACACACCGACATCCGCTAAAATCTCTGTCGATACATTTTTATCATCATTATTTAGTGCTTCTTCAAGCAATATTGCTGAACCCATTAAGATATTTAAAAGTATACACGCTTCTTTGATTCTAGAACATTAAAATAACGGAATTATTATAATTTACATTTGTGTTTTAACAAATAATTTTAGAGACTTACAAGGGGAAATATGATTCTGGTTTGTTAATATACAGACCAAATAATGGAAATAGATTCCTCAAAATATCATATTGTAATTGTTCGGCACCACCATTATTGAAATGATTTACTAGTACAACTTCTTCAAAGAGAAACTGTGAAAAGAAATATTTGAAAAAAGATGAAAATTATTATATAAAAATTATTATGTAAAAAGTAATCTATTTTCTTTTATTTTTATCTTGTATACTTGATCAAATTGAGCAGCTAAATTCTTCCAAGCTTGATTAAACAACGGCAAAGCAAGAACGTTGTGCAATATATGAAGACGTGTAGCTAGTTCTTGGAACATGGAACAACCACTTGGAGTCATTGATAATGAAGCAACTTCTTTTGAAGACTGCATCGCAAACCATCTTAGAATAATAAAAAGTAGTTCAGAATTTAATAATAAATGAAAAATAATTTAAACAAAATGAAATACTTTCAAGTTAATATTTAATATAAAAAAACTAGTAAAATATATATATATATATTCTTTCTTTACTTGAACTAATTTTTTTACTTGAAAAATAATTGTAGTTGAGTAAACTAGGAAAACTCTTACTTGTCTGTTCTATAAGCTCTACTTTTTGCTTTTACATCTAAAGCTACTGAGTCACTGATTTCATTTATCAGTTCTTTCTCTAATCGTCGTAAAAGAATTACAGCTTCGTCAAATACAGTTCCCTCTATTTCTCCAATATTCTCCTTAACGTCGTTACCTTTGTCCGTGGCATTTTCTACAGCTTCGAATTGCTTCTTGAAGAAATGCAGTTGCAAGAAGTGCTACACAAACGCGCAATTATGATAAGTAATATGTAATTTGTGTCTGATTGCAGATGAAAATATACATACAACAGTCACGCCCCATTCTTCCAAAACGGTCGCGACATAGTGTAGTGTATTGAGAATATACGGCATAAGTGACGTTAATGGATCTTCATAATTTTCATGTAACAATTGTAGCAATCGTACTCGCCAGTCGTCAATCAATTCCAATTGCAACTCGAGAAATTGTAATCTTTAACAATATCAACGCAAATAAGTATTATCTCTTGCTTTTTTTTTATAACAATTTCATATGATTTACCTATGTCCAGGCTGAGGTAAATGTTTATATCTGTCAGAAATTGTAGTAAGGAGTGTAAGAAAGGCGTCTGCACATTCAGTGACCTTCATATCATCTATATCAGGACTCGTCAGTCTTTCCCATGCTGTATTCGAGCTTAATATTGCATCCATTTTTTCAGTTGCATCTGAAGTCATAATATACCTGATTGAGGTATGCATGAAATATTACTTCTTTATGTACTTACATTTTTTCTCCATGTTTATCCATTTTACAAAAATATGGGCTTGCGTAAGAACAAAAATAGTAGCCGGCTGAGTGTGAGGATACAACAAAGTCTCCCGCAACTCTCTCTCAAATCCTAAAGCTTCGTCTACTAAATGCGCAAATAAAGTGTCATCATATTGCACTATGGGCAATTCGGAATGAAGTTTTTCAACGGCTAATTGAACTAGAGCACGCATAAATTCGGCCTATATTATATACTATAATTAGTGACCAGAAATGATATTAAGAGCCAATATAAATATTCAATTAATTGTTATATCACACAAACCTTTACATCTAAATACCTCAAACCTACAGAATCTGCTACAGGTTGAACGTTTTTTTGTACCCACTGAACATGGTCTTTAATCCATGTTAATATTTGTGTAAAAAACCATTCTGGCTTATCTTGACGGTTTGTCAATTTAGCTCCTGTGAAATGATAAACAAATCTTTGTCGGAGGGGACGTACTAAGAAGGTGATTGGCAAACTAATTGGTGCAAAGTCTGTTAATAGCACAGATGTTACTACCGGTTTAATCATTTCGTCTCTGAATATATTAAGGACAACATAAAACAGTTTTGCAGCACGATTCACTTTTTGAATCTAAAACAATAAATTATATAGTGCAAGGATACGGTAGCTGTAGATGAAAGAGATATTCAATGAGTATCTTAAATTTTGTCATTGTTTCTGGTAAAGGTGTACTTAATGAAGTAGCATTGGTTCCACAAAAGGGCCATTTCAATATCTTCAATAAATCATTGTATTCCCTATAAATATTACATATTTAGGAAGTATATAATATATGAATTATGTTTTGAATCTATGCAAGGAAGAAATATACTTTGACAATTTTTTCTTGATTATATTGTGCCAAAAATGTAAAGTCTCATGAACATAATTGACGAGATGATGACATACAGATGTTTGCAATTGGCAACTGATGTTTGTTAAGGTTGTATATAGAGTTATCATTGACTGATCATCACCAGATAACAAGGATACTTCTATTTCGTGGCTAAGAATAATACAACTATTTAATAGACAAAAACAAATCATCTTATATATGTCCAGGGAATGGAAGAGTTACTATGCCATTACTTTTACCGTTACTTCTTATAATAATTTGATAATGATGAAGTAATCACAAATAAAAAGTTACCTTCTTCAGTAATAAATGACTTTTCCAATCTGTTACAAGTAACATTTGACTTTTCTAAATCTGGTATTACCATCATAAAAAAATTTGCAACATCATTACCAAATTACAACAAAGTCGTGATAAAAAGTAACAGTGTTATAAGTAACTCATACTTCTATTCCCTGAGTATGTTATCTTTTGACAACTTATTACCTAATATTTTCTACATATCTTATGAAGTATAGATAGGATAATGATTTGTCCAGCTGACTTATCTTATCAACAACTTCTTGCAGCTCTAAATTTTTGTCATTTTCGCTAAACGTCTCTTCGATCATCTTACTGAGATCTAAACAAATTTCCTGTAACTGCTCAACTTCAAAATTGACACATTCTACATTTTCAACTACTGCCTTTACCTTGGAAGGAGCAGTGGTCGATGCCATTGATAGCTGTAAGCAAGAAGCAATTCATACTTGATTAATGTTTAATTATGTTATATATGCTATTTTGTAAATAAATACCGACTGATTTTTCAATCTCATCCTTTTCTGCTTTGAGATGCTCTTCGAAGTCGTAAATTCCTTCAAGATTTTTTAAAGTCGATCCTAATTGTTCATTAAACTTTCGTATAACTTTTTGTTTTATATCCATTATCTATTCTATTCTATTAAGGGTCTATGATCATTACGTTAAAGGTCGACAGGACAGATCACAGAAGTGACGAGCCAAATTCGATTCGATCCGATTTGACTTTGAATATAACCTAACCTAATTTAACATGGATCTAACTAGTAATTTTAAACAATGTTGTTCCATCAGGTTACTGAAAAATCTTCCGCGCATGCACGAAAATCCTTCAACGGCTTGATAAAATCTTCCACCAATAACCACAAAGGAAATATGGTTCGCACTGTTGGTCTCATGCTGGATTCACACTGCATCCGATTTTCGTCGTACGACG